TTTTTTTTTTTTTGTCTGTTTTAGAAGGAGTAAAAATAAATTTGAAGTGCCTGGCAGACATCAAGTGGATGTGATGTGTAGGCAGTAATACATACCATAGATCAATCTGAAACTGAAGGAGAGAAATCAGGAGATAAATACTGGGTTGTTATCAGTCTTGAGATGGTTTAGTTTCAGAATTAGTGTAAGGTGACTACACTAATTTATTGCACTAATTTATTATTTGTTATTCATATTATTTCTTTTGAAAATTTCAATCTTAGACACAAGTTGGAAGGATGATAGAACCGGTACATATATACCTTTCACTCATATTCCCCAAACATTAATATAACAATGTAATTACCATAGAGAGGGGGAATTCCAGGTTTCCTGTCCTACCTATTAAAGAGTGGTGCTGAGTACCAAGAAGCACATGGAGCAGAGATGTGAAAAAGAAGATATGTTTGCTTTTTTGGCCTTGGACTTGTATCAGGGACGTGTGGGACATGGAAGGAGACACCTGAAAGACTGATATGTGTGTGGAGACCTATGGGGAGACAGACAATGGCAGCTTTTATCATGTTTTGGGTTTTGATTTTGTTCTTTTCCTTCTAGACATGCTGGTCCTTCTGCCCTTTGCCTGAGGTTCCAAGTCAGGAGACTTGTGGCAGGCTTTTGAGTCTTAGTGGCCCTGCTTTGGGTCAACCCTGTTTGGTGGGGCAATTATCCACGAGGGGATGAGTAACTTTGGGTATTTCATAGGGAAACAATATTCTTTCTGTTCTCGTTTTCGCACACTAATTATAATAAAGTTTTTTTAAAAAAGGATTTTATTTATGTATAAAGTAGCTGGGGTGTAGGCCAGAGGTGTGTGTGGGGGCATGTGAGAGTTTTCACCAGAGACAGAGTAGGGAGTAAAACATGTAGATGTACTGAAATACACTGCTGAGGGAAGCAATGGGTGGGACAAGAGGTCCGCTGTACAATGTGGGTTAGTTCCTTGGCCATGGATCAAACTCATGCTGCAGTGACTGCTGTTGGCTTCATAGTGCTGAGACTTAAACCTTTGCGAGACCAGGGAGGCCCCTCTATTGAAAGTCTTACAGAGTATGCTTTGTCTTTATGTAGACAGAAGAATCCGTTTAAAGCAGGTATGTTTGGAGATTCTGGGGTGCCCTTCATTCCACCCAGGAACAATAATATTTTTATTTTAATTGCTTTGTCTTTCTCTCTCTCTCTCTCTCCACACACACACACACACACACATACACACACTTTTTTGGGCTATCACTAGTATTTGACAGTCAGTTGCAGACCTGATACCCCCATACTCCTAAACTTTGTTGTACTTTTCCTACAAAAAGACATTTTCTTCTATGTGGTTCTCAAAGTACGTTTTAACAGCCAGTAGCAATTGTATCACAGAAAATGTTGGAAAGCTAAATGCAGGGCATCAATAGAGCAATGATTTTGGTAATTTTGCTGTGGTTATGAGAGAAAATTAACATTACTTTAAAAGTTACCGAATTTATAGGTATTATTAAATCTGTTACAGGTCAGGAGAGGGGCACTGCAAAATCCCCAAACCTGTCCACTATAAATTAAGTTCTGTCATCCACCACATTAAGAAAACACATACTCTAATGTGTAAAATCTTCAATGGAAAGAAAATACAATTAGTGTATAATACAGAAAAGGGGGGAAATACAATTTTCAAATCAAGCACCTAGCTGTGGATAAACATCCATGGTAAATGTCTGGCTAAACAGGGTTGGCCCAAGCAAGGCCCCTGAAGACCAAAGTCTGCCACAAGTCTTGGTCCCTATAGTGGGGATCCATAGAAAAGGGTCAGAAAAAGACAAGTCTGGAAGGAAAGAGCAAAATGAAAATGAAGATCAAAGCTGCTATTGTTAACCTCCCCACAGGTGTTAACCTCACCCACATGTGTTTCAGTCAGTCCTGGACCAAGAAGCAAGTGCAGCTGCTTCTTATGTCTCTCTACTGTGTGCCTCCTCCCGGCCTCTTGCTCTCCATTCTTCTTCCTTCCCCAGTCTCCTCAACAGCTTCTCCACCCTGCTCAGCTCTACCCTCCTTTGGGTGGGGCAGAAAACCTGGCACCTACTCTTTCCCTGGGAACCACCCTCTTAAATCCCAGCAGTTGTCCCAGTAATGCTTTTAATAGCAAAAGTACCAAAAGGGACCACCAATTTTGCCAAGACAAAGTGGCAAAGTTTAATCATATAGGGCAGTCCTAGAAGTATAGATCATTTTTCTTACTAAGGACATGTGGAGATTGTTAGCTAGAAAGGAGGGTCAACGATGCAACAGATGGGGAGGTCTGGAAAAGGAGGCTCACTACATCCCGGGAGGCAGAGTGAATACTATTGCTGAACCGAGGAAATGGGCACCAGTGATTAACGATGCCACCAGGTCTAGTATGAGGACAGGAATGGCCTACAGGATTTTGAAAGTGGAATCCTTAATGACCTTGAAAGAGAGAAATGGGTTCAAAGAAGCAAAATGAGAAACTTAGCACAATTTTACAGAAAACTTTTAAAGAGGTGCAATGATATGAAGGAGCATAGGAAATTAAGGAAAGTTTCATTTTTTTAACGTGAGACATCTGGCATTTTGTTGATAACTGCTGGGAAAAATTCCTTGTAGCAGTTTAGGGAGATTTACAAACTACCAATGCCTGGGTCTCACCCCTGGAGAGTCTAATTTAATTGCTCTGGGGTGTTGCTGGGTTCACCGGGATTTTTAAAGAGGTCCCCAAATGATTTTAACATATAGTCAAGACTGAGAACCATCCTAGACGAAGAAAACAACTGATGCAAGGAGGGCTTAATTGCCAGCCAACACTTAAAACAATTTGAAGGAATATTGCATTATAATTTTCAGGTATTTATCAATGAGTTTCCCACAAGTGTATCTATCACAAGTTCACTCCAATAGCTAGACCTTGTGTAGCCGAGAAGTGTTAGGGTGTTGTAAGTCGGCACATGAACTCAGCACTACTTGCACTATCTTTTGTTTGTTTGTTTGTTTGTTTTAAAGATTTATTTATTTCTGTATACAGAACCGGGGTACAGGCCAGAGGTGCAGGGGCAGCCAGAGAATTCATCAGAGACAGAATGACAGAGTGGGGACCTGAACAAGCCGACTGACGAAGTACACATCACCAGGGGAAGAGTGGGGAGCAGAACAGGCAGATCATCGAGGTACACTGCTGAGGGGAGCAGTGGGCAGGACAGGAGAGGTCTGCCGCGCCATGTGGGTCACCTCCGGGACGGGGGTCGAACTCATGCTGCAGTGACTTTAGCTTCTTAGTGCTGTGCTTTAACCCGCTGCGCCACCAGGGAGGGCCCTGCACTATCTTTTCAGTCACATTATCTCACTTTTCCTAGTAGTGTCTGTAAAGCAAGTGATG